TTTTTACGCGCTCGTCTCGTGAGCGTTGGAAGAAAAATCAACTCTGTGTTCTCCGTAAAGTTTGTGTACAAAGAAACTTGTATAACAAATAAACTCCGAATAAGAATTCTAGAAAGCACAGATATTTCGAAACGAAACGACGAAGCGAATTGATATGCGTGCGTGAATTTTAACGCGTCCCGAATGCGTGCGTGAGATTTATTAGTCGTATCGCGAGGGAGAAACGTCGAAGCTGAGAAAGATCGTTGCATGACGAAGTAGGAAAGTATATATATGTACGTATGTATGTATATATATATATATATATATATATAATATATACGCGAATGGAGAGAAGGCGTATATATCGTGAGCGAGCTCGAGCCCGCCGCCGGCACTTTTCTCCTGGCTAATCGTTATGGAAAGTCCGTGGATAATATGGGACGTTGTGCGCCGCGGAATCTCGCGTAGGATCGAAAACGCGCGCCCGTTGTCGACGTTGCTGAAGCGAGGAAAATTACACGGGAGGGAGGGAAAGAGGAGCCGGAGGGGAGAGAAGAAGAACGAGAAAACTTATCAGTCACATATAAAGATTACACGAGAACAGATATTCGAAATGTCGTTTTTCTGTAATCGATCGAGAGATTCGTAGAAGGAAGATTACACGCGCGAGTGCATTGACGCGAATGTTTCTTCCAGAATTCGCGTTGCATCCGGTCGAAGATGCGGTTAAAAAAGAAAACAAAAAAAAAAAGAAGATCCACGAGTCCGATGATCTCTTCGGAAATGAAGTTTTCGTGGGGAATTTCTTCGAGCGCCACTTTTCAAGTGGTGCCCGGGTCCATTCCGCTCGTTTGTTCCAAGTCTCACGGGGATAATACGAGAGACACCGGTCGGAGAACAGAACGCGGCACACAGGATCGGTTCGGCACGTCGACGACATTGCTGAGGAAAGGAGTGGTACACCCGAAGCGAGAGAGGATGGAGAAGAACGGTCGCTCTGCGCCAGTGTAAAGGAGATTGGCGACCTAACGGGGAGAAAGAGCGCGAGCGAGAGAAGGGAAACGTGGACGGAAGAGCGAACGGGACGAAAGGCGGTGGGTGAGAAAGAGAACGCTCGCGCGAGGTGCGCGGTGCGAGCGAGAGAAAAAGAGGGACACGGACGGGACGGTGCTCGTAATCAAAGGGGCAAGCCGCGGCGTGGAAGAAAGTCAGCCTACCGAGCGGCTCATCAGTCCGGCACGGCGCGGTGTCCCGAATGCACGTTGAAACCATCGATTTTCCGCGTATATCGGAATCGTACCGCGATTACGCACCGCGATCGCCACGCAGCAGGTCGCGCGGCGTGGTTCCCTCGTCGCGCCAAAACTCGCCAGTTCGATTCCGAAATAGATCGGCGCGATGCGTCGGCGGTTCGTTTCCGACATCCACATATGTTTTGAAAAAATCATACATTCGTGTGCATAATATAATCGAACATTGAAAACAAATTCAAACAATTGGGAGTAATTGAGAAAATTTTATCAAACAAGAACGCACGTGTGTAGACTGAAGAAGAGGGAGCATAGTCGCAGGACAAAATCGTGAATCAACTTTTGCTTTACAACGCGAACTGTGGCGAACGATCGAGGGATTTAGCAATGCTCGCGAACGGCAGATGAATGGTACGTATATCAGGTGATAATCAACTAGAAAATTGCGAGAAGACGCGCAAAGATTGCGCTGAGTAACCTCAAGAAATATATAGACTGCGTTTTTTCTTTTTCGAATCTTCTTGTTGCGCGGTTTGGTGGCTTTGAAGAAAAGGCAGAAGAAGAGTGCAAAAGCGTGTGCGCGAAAACAAACACGAGCGAAATATGAAACTGCAAGATAGCCGTGAAAAAAAATCCGACAGACAGACATTCCGGCATGCTGTGCACGCGATGATCATATTCGTTTTCACATTGTAAATCCACTGCACCGACCAGAGATCGAACGACTGTGTTAAAAACAAAAACAAAAAAAAATCAAAAACAAACAGTTATATCGCGAATTATTTAACGAAGAGAATAAAAAATACGCCACGTGCCTGTGGTTCAAAAGAACGCTCGCTTAATCCAATTAGCAACACTCTATACGCATACGTTGTACGGCTTCGATGCACACGTCAGAGAAACATCAAACTATACGTCACATGCAAGGATGCAGTGTCTAATTGACAGACGCAAGGAGACGATTGTTTTGTGGTTTTTGTAATTAAGATAAAACAATTTTTGACCTGAACAGATAACAAAATAGGTTTTTTTTTACTCTTTTGTTCTGAAACAATAATAGAAGTTTAACAACTCTTTTTCATTCACTAAAAAAAATACTGTTTGTTGTCAATGTGCGAATAGAACATAATGACACACAGTTTCTCGTCATTTTCCACACACCTTGCGAGAGATATTCCATTGTGCATAAATAATTGTTCTCGATCCCGTGAAAGTCTCGCATGCACATCGCTCGCCTGGGTAGGAAGCAGAAGCGTTGCAAAAGAAAATTCTTATGCATGCACTCGACTTGATTATCTGTCGATCGATGTGTGTTTCGACACCGACGAATCGCGAAACTGTGTCTTAAACACAAGAGGTTGCAATAAAACTCCGACTGGTTTGCCGATATATCTTGTAAAAAAAAAAAAATGTCCCGAGACGTCATCGTCTTCAACGCGTCGTCGAAATATTTTCCACACGATCGAAAATTGGTCGCAAATGCACGCGGAACTGATTTTCCCATTTAGCGGCGATTCACGTACATTCTTTCTCACAATTAAACCGTTCGCTCTTGTAAACACACTTCTTTCACACGCGCGCGTTACATAGTAACACATAAATCGAGGTTATTACCCCACGGGTGGTCCGCGCCGACGACGTCAAAATACACCGGCGTGTATTTAGGACGGACCCCGACGTGATTTAAAATAATGAATGGAACGCGTTGTCAAAATTCACGAAGCGTGTCGGCTCGAGTATAACCAGTTGTTGCATAACGACAACCGGGAAAACGCGGAATTCCGATGCAGTCAGTGCAGACAGTTCCATTTTAGTCGAGCGCATTTCCGGACGTAACTGTTCTAACGAATTCGAACGGAGCTTCCACGGTCTTTCTCGGCACAATTTGTACCCGTTAAAGAACGCACGACTCCGTGCCTCGTGCGTTTCTACTAATTACTTCAATTACGTCTGTTTAATATTAACACGACGTTGCCGGCCACGCGAGCGATTCAAACTTACAATGACATCTCGTCCCGTCTATCCCCGCGAATAGACCTTACGTGCTTCCGATTCATTACGTCTTACCGGGTGGCCATAATGATTACAGTTATATGCAAATCCTTTCCCACACGAGAGCGGATGGAATGTGTTAATTGGCGAGGAAAGCGCAACTCATTCTCTCTCTCTCTCTCTTTCTCGCGTCCTTTTATAATTAATTTTTATGATGCTACGCTGCAAAGTCTTGTGAAATATGTGTGTCGAGTATCGAAACCGAAAGATTAAACTGTGCGACGTTATACACACGGCGAAGCCCGGTTTGCGGACGAGCGCGCGTATTCGGGAATCGCATCGCTCGACGTTATTTTTACGAGGTTTCGATATTGCCCACACACGCGCTCGTTCGCTCAGAGAGCCAGCGCAGCACATATCGAGACCGTGGCGATCGGCCTGCGGCTACGAATTCCGTTACGCGCACTTGTACGGCTCCTCGAATCTCCCTACAGTCTGCCCACGGCGGTACTTTTTGTGCTCCATCTGCGATCTCATCGCCGATTTTCGACGCCGATTTAACGATCTCTCCACCGGGTGTGAAGTAAAAATGCGCACCTTGCGCGCGCGCGCAACGTGAGAGATGCAATTGTTGTTGCAACGATAAAACGCGAAAATTGCGCGAGTGTATATTAGCGCAAGAATTGAACATATCAAATGTGTTGTGAAAAACGAAAAAAATTCTTTTAACGGTTACAAAAACAAAATGACAAGGAACTCCGCACTTCCGACATGTAAACTGATTTTCTAGATCTCCGCGTCGCGCGACGGAACATCATCGCGGCGATGCACTCGATTAGTTTAAGTCACTGGACCGGAAAATTCTTGACAAATCTCGTACATCATTTAACAAGCAGCCTCGATGTAGATACTGTTATATTTGTAGCGCAACATGTGAGGAATTGACGCGGTCGACATTCGCGACAGAGAAAATTTGTTTATTTTTCAATGTTATTTAAATTTAACATCCGGTCACATACAAAAAAAAATGACGAGAGAAGACGCGATGAATGCAAAAGAAGATCGGAAACACCTACGTCGGAGGAGCCTTCGCGATCAGCTGATTGCTCGACAGTGACCCCGGGTCACTATCTACTTTCTACTTCTCACATTCTGCCGAGATCTTGGCGGTGATAGAAGGGAAGGAGAGGGGTGGCTGTGCACACACGATGCCTTCGAGTAGAAACGGACGTACTTTCACGGCGACGACGGTATACATATCGTTAAATTATCGAGATACTGATGAGTGAAAACGGATGGAGGCGGAGCGCGTTGTTCACCTGCCCGCGGGAGAAAAATACGATGGAGGATTTATTGGCCGGAGAGTCTCCTCTCGGCTCTCGAAAGAATGTTTATGACAACGTCGCCGTACATGCGCGCGCACGAGAAAAGTTCCGCGTCGTGAGAAATTTATCCTTGTAATTTATTTGCAATATCCACGACGGGGGCTAAGGATGAAAGCGGACGATCGTAAATAAGGAAAAATTTTTCGAAATTTCTGAAATATAAATGGAAACTTTATCGATTTGTCGATTAAAAAACTCTTGGAAAATAAACGAGAAAGAGGAGAAGAGAGAAGATCGAATGTAGCTTTTCAACCAATCGTAGTTACAATTTTTGTAAAAAAAAAAAAACAACGCGTCAGCCTCACGAAGAGAATCGTGGAATGTGAAGCCCCGCTCGAATCGAAGGTTAACCGTGGCTAAACAAATGTCAAGCGTATAACAGAATACAAAAGTTACAGTTAACGCTACGCCGCCGCCGAGTACACATACATATACGCGTACAAATGCTCCGCGTCTCAAGGTGCAATTTATTCCGACACGTGTCCTGTTTGTTTATAATTCCGTTCCGCCGCTGCGGAAGACTGTGGTCTAATGACGCGATTAGTAAAACGAGCAGGTACGACGACGGGGGAAGAACATGAAAGTTCCGTATTTAAGTTGGTCACGCGACTACGGCACGCCGAGTCGAGATCGTCTAATCGTGATCCTCGACGACGCTGTGTGACACGATTCGTCCGTTTGTCGTTAATCGATTTTACGATCGCAGATACAGACGAGCAAGAAGATAAATCGTGTCTGGGAAACGAGCGCGTCGAAGAATTTTCCCTCGTCCGTGATTTCTGCCATTGTTGTAAATATAATCTTCGAAATAAACAGGTTTTTCCATCAAGAAAAACCTGTCCTTAGATATTACATCACGGAGCAAACCGGGATCGTCGTCTAATAATGTATGTCTTTCTGACCTGTTTTCAGGGAGTGGCTAGCGTACTGGCCGAGCGTAAAGATCAGCGGTGTTGTTGTCATGAATTAAGGCCGGTCCGGAAAATGGACATCGCCAAGGGCACAACGGAGGATTTCGTGACGGTGGTCAGCGTCGGTAGTCAACCGCCGGATAACTTCGTGACCGTTCTGTCGATTGGAAACGGAAAGAAGAACGATGAGGAATCCGGCGTGAGCAAAAGCCCGGCGAACGGAATGGACGGGTATATCGAGGAGGAAGTCGAGGTCTTTAGACTGCCCGGCGAGCGTCTTGGCTTCGGGCTGAAATTCGAGGGCGGCAATAAGACGTGCGAGAGAGTGAGAAGGTTATTCGTGCAGAGCTGCGCGGAGCAGAGTCCTGCCAGCAGAGCGAAATGTTCGTGGGGCAGTCTGGGCGAGGGAGACGAGGTAAGGGAATTCACAATTATACGTTTTCGAAAACGTATTTCTCGCGTGCTTTCGAATTTTGTTTGTTCGTCTGTTTGTTTTTTAATTCTCTCGAAAAAAATTACACAAGATGCACGCGAGATAAAATCGCGGTTCTTCTAAATCTTCGTTTTCATCATCATCGTGTTTTCAACCCAAGTTCGTTTACTTGTGTGTGCGCGTTGAACGTGAGTAATTTCTGCTTTCGCTGAAATTGATATTTTTGTGCTGTAACGCGCGCGCGCACACATGATGAATTCAAGAAAGTAGCGTTTCATGAACATGTATGATTTCATTCTTAATCTTAACGCTACGTGAGATCTCCGGCGCGTCATACGTGTCGCTTTCGATTGCGGAACCGACAGGTTTTCTTCATCATCATCTACTTCTGAGATCTTCGCGCGACGGATAAGAGATCACAATTGCGCTCGCGGAGCGCCGTGGCAGATGTAGCTCTGTCTCGATGTCGCGCGTAAATGACTGACGCACAATTATTTTCACGCATCGAACCGCGACGAGCTTGCATCTGTAATGCGCTGTCAGCGATTTGAATGAACGAGCGTAAGAGAGAAAGGGGAAAAAGATACATATATATATATAAGGAAAATAACGGAGATGTGTTTTCTCGCGCGCTCGCGAATTTAGAACGCATTTATCTTCCGAGATTTTCTAAAGAGACGTTAATTTTGTAAATTTGCTAAAATGTTCACAATATATTAGGATTGAAGACGTTAGATATTTGTAGGACGTAACATATTCTCACATTTTGCGCGGGACGCACTTTCTTTCGGCTCCCACGGCATCTGCGATTTTCAAGACCCACTTCCTGAGCAATAATTCCCCCGAGAGAGGCTTTCCTTCTCTCATCTCCCCGGCGTGTTTACATTGCAAATTATTATTGCGGGCTTCAATCAAAGCCCGGCGCGTACGTGTACCACCGCGTCAATTACGTTACATATATATCTTGCAGGTACTTTCGATCGACGGTGTACCGGTGACACACATGACCCGGCTGGATTGCGTGAGGCGGCTGAAGGAGTCGCAGCTGGTGATCAGGCTGCTGGTGAGATGCCGCGGCGCTCTCAGACCGGAAGTGGTGAGCGCCGAGAGAAAGATCGAGAAAAGCAAGATACCGCCGGAATTGCCGTCCGCGCCGCCGCCCGTGCCGCCGAGGAAGCTGCGACAGCCGCGGGGACCCGCGGACGGCGAGGCTAATCCCAGCCCCGTCAAGAAACCGATCAGTCCGAAATCGCATAACGGGTCGCAGAACGGTTCGCGAAACAGCTCGCAACAAAGCTCCCCGGCCTCGGGATCGCAGAGTCTGACCAGAGTGAGCTCGTACGAGACCTGCGAATCCTCGCCGCCGAGAACCGTCAATGGATCGAGTCAGGCGAGTCCGAAAGAGTCGCCGAAGGACCGTTCGCCGGAGTTCACGAAATCGAAACAGGTGTTGTATCTTACGCGTTGCACCAAAATAAAAATAAAAAAAATCCCTACGAACTCGTAATACCGGTTGTAAGTTCAGAAATCAATATAAATATTCGGACAGAGAGAAGCAGAAGAAATATTCAGCCACATTTTAAAATTGCGGCAATTAGGTGAAAAATATTTAAACTTGAAACAAAAATCCAAATTTTAGGTCTGTTTGAAAAAGTATATTAATTAAAGAATTACGAAAAAAATCGGTGTGACTCTGAAATTAATGAGCACTCAACAAGTTCTTAAAAAGCTAGGACAAGATTATTAATTAAAAATTAATGGTCTAAAAATTCGAAATGGAAGAGTATATGACGATCTCCGTTTCCAGGAACCGCCGGAAGCGATGGTTTATCTGGACGCGCGATCGCAATGCGGCTCCACGCATGGCAGCACGTCGGACGACACCGGCAGTTCCATGTCCACCGTGGTGGACAGATTCTCGACGTCCGATCGTGTGTCGACCATCTCGACGGCTTCGACCGCGTCGACCGGCGGCTCCGAGCAGCTGACGCCGAGCGAAATCTCGGGCATCGATCGGGATTCCGATCGACTGTCCGATCGGGACGTGCTGCTGTCGCGAGCGATCTGCCCGCTCGAGCATCTCGAGCGGGACTTCTCAAACCCGCCTGACTACCTGCTCCGCCGTCTCGCCAGTTCCGAGGCGGTGACGCATGTAGAGTCGCGGGGTGAAGTCGAACGGATCACGGCGGTGGTCGCGCCGAACACTGTGCTGATCGAAGAGACGATCACCCTCCAACCGCCTCTCAGCTTTCAGGACGCCCCGCTGAGCTACGGACACGAGACCAGGCCGGATCTCTTCTATACCGCGGACTTGGCCGCCGACTCGACCACGCATTTCAGACCAATTAAGGACGACGCGGAGCTCGTGGAACACGTCAACGGGGGCAATAACGAGAAATACCGCGACGGGAACCGCACCGTTCGTTCCAACACCGACAGATCATCGTCGCCGTCACCGCCGCCGTTGCCGGCTAGAAATCACGTTAATAGGATCTGCGTGAATCAAGCGCGGATGAGCGAATCTGAAAACGACGCGCAATTTTCCGCAACGATGCCCGTATCTCACGACGACAGGGAACTTCCAGATGCACCTTTGTTGCCACCAAAGCCGTTGCCGAGGAAGGACGTGAAGGCCAGACGGAAGAGGCCACCTCCGCCGCCTCCGCCGCCGAGTATAACGCCGCGAAGAGAAGTTAAATCGTCCGTTGAGTCGAATCACGGGGAGAAAGAAGAAGACAGAGAACTTCCGCAAGTCGCAGCTGTCGTTGAGCAGCTCGTTTCGCAATCGGAATCGTGCAATTTGTCATCGAGCAAGAGCGACGTTTTCGGAAAGAGTTGGGAAACCGAAATTTCGGGTGAAAATGTCAACGGGGAATTGAAAAGCGATAGCCTTGACACGGAGAAAGCGAAGAATTCGGAAGAGGACGCGCAAATAAACAAAGTTTTCGAAATTATCGAGATCCGAGTGGCTAAAGGTTTGCAATCCTCCGATCAGGAGGAGATCACGAGGAACGAATCGGACACCACGTCCGAGACGACGAACTGCGAACAAACTGGCGTACGAAACGAAGAAATTACAAGCAAATCGGATCAATTGCAATCGGCAAACAATTTGGACAAAGTCTCGTCGTCGGGTCGTCAAAATTCAGAACCGACCGAGGACAATCGCGTTAACGAGACAAGCAACGAAACGGAAAAACATATAGATTCGGAAAATCAAAGAGAGGACGGCAGATTGAACGATCGGGACATGCGCAAGGAAACGTTTTCCTCGAAAGCAAAAAATAATTTGTCATCCGAGAATTTGGCGTTTCGAGAGAGCGAGAACGACGAAACGTATCGATCGCTGGACGAGGTGAACGACGACATGAGAACATCGGAAGTGAATCGAATGCTGGACGACGATGAGACCGTCGTGGAGGAAGAGGACACGAGCGACGAAAGCGACGACGGCGACTATTACTGGCAGAGCAACCTCGCGACCATCGGCGAGGAGGAGGAAACAACTTCCTTGGAATATGCAAACGCGTAAGTTCGCGCAATCGAACGCTCGGATCTTCTGCAGTTCTCGATTTTTTTTTTTTTTTTTTTTACCCAACGTACCGCCGATTGTGATCAGGAAACGTTGTGTGTTGAGAAATTCAAGACCGCCGCGCTCGATAATTCTCTCGGATACGTAATTCGCGTGCATCCACTTTCACCGTTTCTTGCATCGCAATCTGTTGCATTTGCAATTTTATTGTTCGAAGTTTTGAATTTTACCGCGCAATTTAGTTAATAATTCTATTAAATTTTGTGGCCCCGCATTGTGCGAAATTAATCGGAATACAGCTCGGTCCGCTTCTTCGAACCGAAACGGTTAGTTGCCCGCGAACAATTCCGCTGGGAATTGTGTCAGGAAGCAGATCGCGTCTTGGCGTCGCCGTGCCGCGCAATGAATGAACTTTAAAAAGAAATTAATTCACTTTCTTTGAAGAACGTGGGTTACTCGCCGGCATATAGGAGGAAAAGGTTAATTGACCGTTCCAAGAATAGGGTAAAGAGGGCTGTCGATATGTTACTTGAGAATCGAACGCCGAGTCGTTTGACTCAACCGTCCCACGAGGTGAACGCCTCCATGGAATGCTCGACATTTGCTTATTGCTTTGAAAAGCAATCTCTCCTTCTTTGCATGACGCTGCAATCGCCTCTTACACTATTCGAACAAGCGCGATCGGCGTTTATTAACGCTCGTAAGCGCTTCCTCCGCCATTGAAATGTACATATATTCAACCAAGTTTTGAGCACGATATAAGCCAATATGCCGGATGTGCAAATATATACACATATATATATATATATATTTTTTTTAAACGTGTAAATTAATACGCATAAAAATTCAAATTAAATTCAATTCGAGAATTCACAGGACGCTTTGCATAAAAGTAAAATGCGTAATTTATTCTTCTACGAAATTTAAAAATTTTATTGCAACAAAAATATATATTTGCACATACATCCGCCATATTGATTTATATCAATCTTAAAATTTATCAGTTATCACAAAAATTTATTAATTATCACTTCAAATTTGTGTTGATATACATATAATATAAAATATGATTTATTTGTGCATCATTAATTTATTCGTGTCATCTAGTTAGAAATTTTATTTTTCGCACAACACAACGACACGAAACAAAACCTGATTGTTTTACACGACGTTCCTCTCTAAACAACGAAAAGCATTGTATTTCCTCTGATCTGCGCAGCAACACGGATGATCCCGGCAAACCGAAGGCAACGGAGCCGGAAGAATCGCCTCCTGCAATCAAAAAAGATGCTTTGGTTAAGAGCGGTGAGTAGCTTTTATCGGTCACACTAATTAAGTCTTAATTAATCGTCAAAATGCGATTTGAGTCAATAAAACGCCATTTATCTAATTAACGCAAGAATGCGAGGCCGGAACGCGGCGCGGAACGATTAGAGACCCGCTCGTTAATGGCAGAGCTGACAAATCAAACATTTGCGTCGATTAAGGCTAATTGCGAAAAAAAAGAGAGAAAAACTGTTATATCATCAATCGAAGCGACGACCTTGAGCGACGTTAATTAATCGTCTTCGTTTTCAATAACGTAATCGAGTTAACATCAACGTATCCGTGTTCCGTCATCGAAATGTCTTAATTATAATATGTCCGACTCCGTTTCAAAAGCAATGTAGTGAAAAAATTTTGTTCGGTGTGTGCGACTGATATATTCCGATACGCGTACTCGGAGGACACCCGCTATACACACACCCACCGGTTACCGCGTCCGAGCCTTTATAAAGGTTACGCATTAATCACCTTGCGTTACGCGCCCATGCGGTTCTCCGGTTTCGCGCGCGGGCGCATTCAAAACGGAGGCAGGTCGCAGAAATCGAGACAAAGGCGTGTTAGCGGCGGCGCGCCTTCTCTCGGCCGGGAGAAAATTCTTTATTTCGATCTTTCTCTCTTGTGCATTCGCACTCGTTCGAGCACACGTACATATATTCCGATGTGTTCTCGCGCTGATGACGCTGAACGTTTCTTCTCGTCGTTGCGAGACGAATACGCGTCTCAATCAATATACCCATCTAGTTGATGTTGTTTATCTTCTCCTTACGACGATTGATTTCTACTCAATGGCACATCGAACAGCCTCTTAACGGATGTTCTTTACACACTCGCCTTCAGTGACGATACTTTTCGCACAATATCGCCGCGAAAACCGAAGAGACGCGCGCATCGAGCATCTCTCACGTTTTTCTCTCTCTCTCCGCGAGTCGGTAGAAACACACACACACACACACAAAAAACATATTTAGATATCAGGCGCGTTCTCCGAGAGAGATTCTCAGAGAAATTGTTGTTGATCGATCAGAAAAACGGTAATCTCGCCGTTAGAAGCACCGGAAATCGATCGCCGCGCGCGGGAACGATAGTAATAATAATTTACACCGCGAGCCGAAGCACATCTTCTCTATAGAGTGTTATCAAAAGCAACGATGCGATCGCGTCGTTTTTTTTTCCCTCGAGACGCGGCGCACGGCACGCATCCAAGAAAATCCGGGAGGAACAAAACACTTTGTGTAATAGAAGAAATTACGAGATTGCGGAATGATAAATAATATAATAAGCATTCTCGTGTACAATAATTAATTTGCGCAGCGCATTTTTTTTTTCAGAGAGAACGTATCGATCGCGCGCGCATTATAATTTTCTGTAATGACGAGTCAGCTTCGTCGGTTTTCCGTGCGATGTCGAAATTATGTCTTTCCATCGTGTTTGTCGTCTTTTTTTCTTTTTTTTTTTTTTTCTGCACAAGGCGATTTCCGACGCGAGCGCAGATTGAGGAATCGTCAGATCTCTCTGACCGTAGAATTTTACCGGACTTGCATTCTGCGCGAGGCGAGAAAATAAATTCCGCGCCGGCGTATGATCTCTCTAATCGGCGCTCCTTCGCTCGAACGCGGATTCCCGAGCGCCAGCCAGGTGGGTGTGAGAACAAAACCGTTACGAATAATTCGAGAACCTCCGCTGCCGCTGCCGCCGCCTATATCGTCTTTGCGCGGGATTGCGCTTAACAAACAACCGAAGCTGCCGCGAGCTTCCCATTAAACGCGAGACTTTACGGTCAGGCGCCTCTCTCTCTCTCTCACTCACTCTCTCTCTTTCTCAGGCTTGCCCGAGCTGCTGCTCGTCGATTATTTTTCCAACGAACCAATAGATGTTCCTTCGCTCCTTAGCCCCGTTAAATATGGAGTCGTAAAAATTCTCACACATACGCTCACACACGTGCATGCACGGCGCCCATTTATCATCCACCGTTTCGCCGCGCGCGAGCTCGAGTATGCGAAAACGCGTTGCGTCATTTGCGTCAGCTCGAGCTTCTTTTATCTCACGCCGGTAAACGTATAGGTAGAGATTGTTGCTCCAAGATAAATTAGCAAATACACAAGCTGAGACCGAAGTGTTTAAAACTTGCTGTCCATTTTGTGCTTTTAATTTTGTCGGAGGTTTTTTGTTTTTATTTTCTGAACTATTTTCAAAAGCGCAGAATTTTGCTGAGAGACTAATTGCAAGGATGTAACTTGAACGAGGAGAGAGTTGAACAGACAAAAGAGGAACTCGCATTTAAACCGCAGAAAACATAACAATGATACAACAACATCCGGAACGAAACATGACGAAACAAAAAAAAAAGAGAGAGAAATACGTTTGTTTTGTAATCGCCATGCTTCCGGGCGCTCCGTTAATTACCACGTACGTCATTATCGCCTCGCGACATTTACGATCGATTCGGCGCCGCGAGTGTCGCACACACCCGTTATAAGAGATATGGACCGAGATCGGGGTCCAACTCAACTCGATAGTCACAACAATATGGCGGACCCCGGTGTGCGGCAGTTCTGAGCAGTCCTCCGTCGAAGTCCTCTTCCAGTGGCTGACCGCGCTCAAGGTCCCATTCCCCTTTATAATCGCCTTCCTTTTCGAGATCTTTCACTTGGTTCACTTCCAATCGAAGAGACGGCGATCTCTCCGACGCATACTTGCTTACTGACGTACGTGCGTATACACGCCTGCGTGTGATCGCAGAAGACGGCATTCCTGGGGGGGGCGCCAACACCGAGGCCCCTGTATAATTCCAGTACATGTACCGGACCTAAAGATAACAAACGTCGTCCGAAATCGGAACGTGTAACAACAGTCTCTCTAACTGTTAGATCAACATTGACAGCTTCGAGAGACCGGTACCGGTCTCTCTCAACTCTCTCTCAGGATCACAAGCTTGTCCCGATATTTTCCGAAGAAACGCTTCCTTTTTCTCATTCATTCGCGAGTAAATTCCCGTATCAACATTCCGCGCTGAAACAATGTCTTCGAAGATGATTCGAACTCGATTTGTAAACTGGTCATTCCAAATATCATTTGTGAGTCAGTGACCCAAAGAGAACGAGATACATGATTGTTCAAGACGGATCGATTTCGTGATTTCACGTCACCTCGGGGCGAACCGAAAGAAAGAGAGAGAGAGAGAGAGAGAGAAAGAGAGAGAACGGTGGATCGTTAATATAACAACATGCAACTGTGTTTTCATCAGGTCGTCCTCATCGCGAGATTCGCTTATCTATACCGTGCAATTACGCGTCCTAAAAATACACAAACGTAAAGTAACATTCCGTAATTTCAGCCGAACCGCGTATTAACAACCGGGTTCTCTTATAAGGGAATCGACCTTTTCCCAGGCGATCTGACGCCCCCCGTTTCAATTTGCGATTGCGAAGGGCGATGATTAGTTCTTGACCCCCGGGTGAGAGGAAGCCTCCGATGTCGGGGCAATTAGCTGGACATTGATACACACAGTGAGCGCTTTCTATTAAAACGCGTCGACGCGCGTAGATATATATCCCGGACAGCCTCCATCTTATCCGTACGGTAAGAGAACTCGAAGATTATTTGCATCCGACGTATCAGTTTCAATCCGCGATCGCGTATAAGCGATCTCGCGGACCGCACACAGAAACTGAAACGATTCGCCACTCAACATTCGCGTGCGAATGTGCGCGATTTAAAACAAAAACAAAAAAACAAAAACAAAAATCGGCGATGACATTATCGTCGCAGTTTTTATCAACTCGCGCATTAAACATATAAATGATGTTTCTGTTCTCCAAAATTCATGAACGCGACGATTCTTCGCGCGTTCTCGGAATTCCTCTTAGAATTCCTTCTCGATTCCGAAACCACTTATTCGCGAGTTGCGAGTGTAGAAGAAGCGGGTCACGTTTTGTCACGTTCGTGCCGAAAGAATCGCGCATTCGATTCCCGAGGCACGGCTTCTTAACGCATCCGATCGAACGCGAACCAACTGCATTCCATCGTGCCGGTTCGAACGGTGCACGCGGTAAAACCCGCGCGTAAAGATGACTCGCCCCGCGTTCAAGATCGACCGGTATATCGACGAATTCAATAGACGAGAGTGTGTGCCTCGACGAAGCGCGCGGCCGTTGAACGGGAAATTGTGCGCGATCGGAGCTGGAAATGGAAACTAGTTCGTAAATTACGTTACGCGCCGCGTTTATTAGAAGAGGCATATTACGTCTTCGGATCGGAATCGCGTTTTGCGCGCGAATCGCGCACGAGCGCCCGAGAAAATTGATATGACCGAAGAGAGATCGTTTATTGTTAAACTCGCGTTCGCGATGATGAGAGAGCGAGAAAGAGAAGCGAGCACACTCGGTTGGTTCCGCGAGTCTGAAAGGATCTCTCTATCGTGTAAGCATGCGTGTGTGTGTGTGTGTGTCCGTGTGAGCGAGCATATCGAACGCGAGAGATCCGAAAGACGACATTCCGTTGCAGCAACCCGGAAGCGCCTCGCCCGCATCAACGTCAACGTAATTAGCTACGATACGTCACACACATAAGATGCAGATCGATCCGCTAAGTCGACGACGGGACGGATTTATACGTTCGCGGCCGAAACGGTTTTTTTATTTTTTATTTTTTTTTATTTTTTTTTTATCGTTCGATCGGATAATGTGCACACAAATAAACGTGGAATTACATCTTCTTCACATCGGCGTGCATGTGTCCCGTCTGACGCGAACAATATATGAACCGTTCGCGCGAGTTTTTTACGTGACGTAGTTAGAAATCGGCTATTGCGACAACGATCCACCGTGAAATTGTCAGGTGGAAGGAGAGAGAAGAGAAACGAACGAATAACGAAAGAAGAAATCGCACAGCTTCTAGTTATTCGCGTTTCTCTATATATGGTGTCTCTACTGACTTTTTGTTCTTTCTTTTCGAATGAAATGATTTAGTTTCAAAAAAAC